ACCATAAGAAGCCTGCAAAACCTGCACTATTTTGCAAATTAATTTAAAAAAATGTTTTTTTTTTAAGAAATATAAATAAAATCAATGTTTGGGGATTGTCCCGTCTTAGCAGTATTTCAGTATTTCCACCACCTATACCTCCATGTGAATATTTGTGTAGAAAACAAAGAAATGTATGAAAAATAAATCTGTCTTTGAAGACAAAAGACAAAATGTCGTTGAAACCTTAATAAGATTTAGTAGTTACAGTGCTCAACAGATTTCACTGTGAAATAGAAACCATAACATATAACATCTGTAACTCACATAAAAAATGAGTTACAGATAGGATAAGAATTATACACTGCAAATGACATATTTGTCATCAACTGAATTACAGACAATTTATTCACACCTCCAAGTATTCCAATGCAAACAAATTTTCAGAAACACTTTACTCATTAACAGCACAATAAAAACCTCCAAAACATATAGAGGCTTCTGATGGATTTCTGCTTTCCTGGTGTATAAAAGAACTAGCATTGAAGAGATTCAGTAGTAACATGCATCATCATGGTTAAGGTCAAAGAGCACTTTGAAGACTGCACGCAAGTGGTAAGTGATCTCCACAAGCTGGGGATGGCTATAAAGTATATAATCCACAAAAAGCTGAATCTACCACACTATTATATTGTTCTTTATTAGAAATTCAAGGCTACTGGTATAGTGGCAGGGCAGTATAATGGTGCAGTGGTTAGCACTGCTGTAGAGTCTTGGGTTCAATTCCTGGGGTGCTATCTGCATGGAGTTTAAAACTACCTGCAAGAATATGGCTTTCATGGTTACAATAAAGAGGTCTCTGAATGAAGACGGACCACAAAAAGGGCAGCTCAAATTTGCCTGACTACATATCAATGACAAGTGGAACCATGGTCAAATGGAACCTTATAGTCAGATGAAATGTAAATAGAACCTTATGACATATCCTCAGCCTTATGCACATCATTGTAGAAAAGTGAAGCTCATGTTGACTAAGCTCTGACACCCTCTGTAAAATATGGTCTGTTATATTTTGGGGGAAGTTTTTTTATTAGAACCCTAATGAAGTCAGAGGTATTGTGAACTGAAACATGTACCAGAACATTCTGACTAAACACCAGCTTCCCTGTGCCATAAAGCTCATGTTTGGCTAAAACTGAACATTCCAGCCTGACAATGATCCAAACACATACATCCAAATTAACAAAGAAGTGGTTAAGTGCACTCCAAATAAATGTTCTTGACTGACAATCTCAATTCCCAAACCCTCAATTCAATGGAATAATTGTAGCTCATACTCAGGATGGCAGTTCACAAACAGAAACCAAAGGATCTACAGGACCTTCTGCTTGGAGACAAAATCACCCCTCATAAGTGCCAGAAACACAAAGCACGATAGGCATCTTGTCTGTATAATAACATCAGAGGAGAACTGAAAAAATCCTAACTACATTGGTAAAGATACGTGTGCCCCTTGTTTTTTCTGGATTTGACTAATGTCAAATATTACTTTGTCTGTGAAAAGCTATTAATATTACAGTATAACATTTGACATATAAGCAAAAGAGACATTATTCATTGACATTATTTGAAAAAATGTTATTTAATGTGTTGTTGTTGTTCCTGTTTCATAAGGGATACGAATAATCTGGAGAAGGCATTGTATTGTCCTCTACTTTACAAAATTAAGTTAGTAATAACAGCAACATGGTTATATGAAAATACAAGAAAAAAACATAAGTAAAAAAAACATTTAAATAAAACCATACAAAAATAACAGAACTGAAGACACATTTTTGACAGACAAAAGAACAGAATCAACAATGTTCTGAATTTATGAGATGATTCCTCAATATTTTCATAGGAGACCACAAACCTTGTGGAAATATTTACCTTGGTCCTGAAACTAAAGAATGCATAACCCAATTATTTATCTGCGTAAGAGTCAGGAATGTTTCTTTGTGTTTCAATAATAAGGCTGGTTTGAACATGGTATGAACACACAAACTGAAAAATAATTACAGGGTCAAATGAAGAACATAAATCCCAGCCAACCCCTAGTGAAAGCTAAATATAGGCTGTACAAACAGCAGGACAACTTACAAAGCTTTTGCGTCAGGGCAACACTTTCTACATTTTTTAGAAATCAGTGTAAAGTCCAAATAACTCTAGAGGGATGTTTAAAGTGAAAACAACATTTCCATAACATTTTCAACATTGTGGTTTTCTATGACCACACTTTGTCAAAATCTATTAGGACCTTAAACACTTAACATTTAAATCTTAAACATTAAACGTAAGCATTTCCTTTTCCATATGGCAAATAAACCGAACTGAACCAAACATTGATACAATCGTTTTCTAGAAACTAAGGAATTGTTATCCTATGGTCGAGCGGGTGAATATTTGTATATACATTTATTCCTTTCTTTTAATTAAAAAAGAATTCTTCACACACTACTGTTATGCTTATGCACACGCTGAGAGAGCAGCCTGGGGAGAGGCTGTGGGAGTCTGGAAGAAGCTGGCCTGTCATACTGCTCAAACCTCTACCTGGCTTCTTTCAAGAAACAGCTGGGTGATCTTTGAATCAATTAGCTACCTGCAACCAAACAGGCTTTATGGCTTTCACCTCCACTATAACCTTTCATGTGTTTTATAGTCGCTTAAAAGCTCAACCCAACCGATAACTGAAACACCGAGCAATCGAGGCACCGCATAGCCCTCCATATTTCACTTGAACAGCAAAAGGTATTAAAAATGCACCACTTAGCGGAGCACAAATCCCATTAGTTCCTTCAAATTCTTATTTGCCAGTCACTTAATAGAGGTTATAACATAGGTTGGGAGGAATGACAACAACCAAGTTCAAGCAGACTCAGCTGTCACTAATGCGTAATAACTCCTGATGTCATTTATACCCCTAAATGTTAGAAATACTGTAATCCTCTATCCATCCATCCTATGTATAAACACATAATCCTCTTATATTCCTGGCATACATATCTTTTTGCATCCCACCTCCACCTCTGCAGCTGTCCCTCGGTCACTCCTCACTCTGCACGGAGGTCCGCGTCCTCGTCCTGTCATCCTAGGATTTTATTGATTAAAACACTCCACAATCCTTTTACGCTTAATCCTTGGGTGTGGTTATTTCCCCTATCACCTCGACTGTCAAAAACACAAATGGTTTTCTCCTAAAAAAAAGCATAGATTTTTTTTTAAAACATGTGACAGACTGGTTTGTGATCCTGAAAAGACTATAAATGGACCAGAAACCTGAGATGGGTCATGTGATATTTTTGCTTTTACAGCTGACATACACTGGGATTTCTTTGATCGCTTTCTTTCAGTAGAGAGCAGTTATTTCTCCTCCAAACATTCCAAGGGAATTTACTTTGGTCTTCTTTGTGAAGACTGTTCGAAACATTACACCATGCGAAAAGAAGTAAGTGTACCACTGAAGGAGAAGTGAACACAAAGTCAGTTTTCAAAGGAATATGCCGAAGCAGCGCTGGAAGGAGAAACGGCATTGATTGTGGAGAAGATACATAAACAAAGTTTCGCTGTTCTATAGTTATTCCAGGATATAAACGCAGCATAGCAGAACATAATTTTTCATTAAATTGGGAAAGGGGGAACATGACGCAAAACTCTGATTTTAAAGGGGATTCCAGGTTTTCTGCACAGCTGCAGTGCGGGGTTTGTGTTTAATCTAGTGGTGTGATGTGCTGTGGAGCAGTCGGTCAGCCGGGACCTAGTCGCGTTGTCCCTGACAACAGCAAGAATCATACGAGCTCTTAAACGTGCAACTCAAACTATATCTGGACGCCTTTCATTGAAGGCAACCCTTTTTCAATCAGGCTAATTAGATGTCTCGTCGCGTCGAACGGGTGTATCGTCGCTCTGTGATTAGAGCTCCCCCAACCTCCGCGTAAGCGGTCGGTTCTCTCTAAACGAAATCTGCTGGTTCATTTTCCTGTTTCCTTTTTGCATTCCCCCTTTTTCGCCTAATTTCCCTCCCTCTTTTCCTTTCTACTTTTTCAGTGATTTTTTTTATTTCAGGGTCGGCTCGCCAGCCTCTCCCCTTTTTATTTTCTCGGCTGGGAACCTTGCTTATTGTTTTAGACGCTCCTCACGGACTGTCCTTCTTCTCTGCCTGCAGCAGATACCACTTTTATTTCCTGACCCTGCCATCCATCGCCTTTTCCGTAGCAGCGCACTGAATCCTGAGCTTGGGCTTCGACCAACCATCACGCTGCAACACGGCTTACCACGAGGTACAGCAAATAAAATGCATCCTTACACTTATACAGCGCTTTTCTGGACACTCCACTCAAAGCGCTTTACAGGTAATGGGGACTCCCCTCTACCACCCATACCAATGTGCAGCCCCAGCTGCGTGAAGCGCGTCATGGCTCAAAACACTGCCGGCTGCGTGCTACCGAACATCGAGGATATCTACTCTGTTAGATGCCTTCAGAAGGCCGGGTCTATCCTCAGGGACCCCAGTCACCAAAACCACAACTTGTTCTCTCTACTACCATCCGGAAAACGATACCGAAGTACTGTATACAGACCAAGACCAACAGGTTTCGAAACAGCTTCTCCCCCACCAGGCAATAAGACTGCAAAACAGCCAACCACAGCAGACACCTGCAATTACCCAAACGGCCGCTGGCAAATAGGCAACCTACTGTACTGTACTTGAACTAGAGTGCACCTGCGCCCTCCTGTCACTTTGCAGTCTCAGGACACATGAACAGCGCTTAATACCCTCGTGTTACTTTCTCACAATCTGTAAATTGCAATCATATAAATGATTGTATCGTAATCCCTATAAACTTCTGTCCTTCTACTCTTCTATCCCTCTTAACGAGCTCGCGGATAAAGCATTTCATTGCCGACAACACCAATGTATGCTGTGCTGTTCGTGCATTGATGAATAAGCCTCGAGCGACTGATGGAAGAGGTCCACTTGCCTGGTCAATGTAGAAAGCGGTGCCAGCACGGATCTCCCGGCGCTGCTTCAGGTCCGTTTCTGTGGTGTCCCGGGACAGCGCCACGTACTCCACCTCTCGCTGGGTGAGCTCCTGGAGGCATGTTTACTGTCAGCTCTGCACCTCAGACCAGCAAATAAACCTACATCCTGCACATGGGTAATCTACAAGAGCACTAGAGCTACTCAGTGTCGCCTACACACTACACTCTAATGCCTTTGACTTAGAGACAGGAAATACTAATACTCCGACATTTGTTCCCAGTTTAGCACTTCAGGCAGTAAACTGGTTCAACAAAAAATTGGCCTTGTACTGCCCTATGCTGACAATGAATGAAACAGTGTAAGATCATTTCCAAGCAGAAGACTTCAAGATGTTATTCATATTATATCACAGTCAATCTTTTCATTTTCAAATTAAAAGCAAGAAAAACATATATTCAGAATGGTTATGTATATTTTTCTCTATCCACTACTTAATTGTTTTAGATTCATGTCCTACCTTCAATAATTCAAAAATAAATGTCTAGTTTTCCTGAAAGAGAACTGGGAACAAAGCAGGACTGCACCATGGATTTTATGGGACATACAGGGACACCAATTAATTTAGCCGGCTTGTCTTTGTGCTAGGATTACAACGGCAGAACTTCAAGCAGATAAAGAAAATTATGGAGACATCTTGCCATGGTCAGCTTTTTCTCACTCTGTGTGTGCAATACCACATCGGTCAGAAAAATGGTTGTGAGACAACCCCAATCATCCAACTTTCACCAGCTGGCCATGGCTGTACAGGGAGAATGGTGAAACCATAGCAGTCTATCAAGTAAATGATCAATTCTATGTAAGTGCTCCCAGGATTCTAATAATGCTTAGGGAGGATATACGCATTACTAGCCTTGGATTCCTATAGCTAATTTACTGTTTGCATTTTTTATCATCTTGTATATGCTGTATGTGTTTGAAATATTTGATCATTAACACCAAGTGTTGTATTTCTTTTGTGTGTCAATATAAATTAAATAATAAAAACACTTTCACAATATATTAAAACTGTCCCAAAACATTTTGTCTCTTTGTTGAAAATCCAGACAACATGTTGCCGTAGTGTTAAGAATTGGTGCCCTGCAGCTTTGGTGCACTGGATTCAATTCCAGACCTGCTATCAACATGTGTTACAGTATGAATATTCTCCCTGTGTTTGTGTGGGTTTCCTCCGCTTTCCTCCCACAGTCCAACGACATGCTGACAGGTCAACGTTCTTGGGGAAAATTGGCCCTGGCTTATGTGTTTATGTCTGTGTGTGGCCTGTGATGGACTGGTGTCCCATCCATGGTGTATCCTGCCTTGCGCCTGTTGCTTGCTTGAATAGGCTCCAGCTCCCCCCTCACCCTGTATTGGCTAATGTGGTTAGAAAATGGATGGCTGGATAGAAGTTGGAAATCTGGCATGCTTGTTTATTATTGGAAGTTAATTTATTAATGAAGGGTTCATTTGCTCTTCCACCATATCTGTTGGCGTTTCATCTGGCATCACAATTCAGACGTTTACACTGCACGATCAACATAAACTGATGATCTTACCAAGTACTGCATGGCAATAGAACGTCGCAGTGGACCTGGGGGGCCAATTAAAAAGACATCCTGTCCCAGTAGGTCTTTCTGCATGATCCATCGGAGATGCTGGGCCACAGTCTGTGGCAAAGACTCACTCACTGGGGAGGCAGACAGGAATTTATCAGTGTCCCAGTGAAGACAGCCTATCCTCTGTGTAATTATAATTCAGCTGAGCACCCTGGTCACATAGGCTGGTGTACAGACGTAAGGCCCTGAATTTCAGGTATTCTGTATGACCAATGGTAAGTGCAAACAGAATTCGAATTTAGGTAAGTGACAAATGTAACAACTCTGCATTATCAAAAAGCACATTTGGTATTACATCTCAAATCTGAAAATGTAATAAACATATTTTTTTCATACATTATGTGTATTAATAATGACCTGTTAATTTAAAAATAGAATGGTAATTCACACCAAAAAAAGTCGGTTATACTGTATGTGAGTCATGACCGCCTAGAGCACTAAGAAATTCTTGCATAATATCAACAAGGACAGTATGTCTGTAACTCAAAATTACAAAAGTTCTATTTAGCAAAAACATTCAAGCAGCACCATGTGACCAACAGCATACAGTGACAATCTGGGTATTTTTTTGACGAACAACTGCTTATGATACATTTTTACGAAGAGTTCAAAAAGAGCATGTTATTTAATTTAAACTGCAAGTCTTCCAAAAAAGTAAACTGTTAATCTTTCAAGCTTGCAGTAACTACTAACTTTATATCTACAGTATGCCTTAAAAATTGAACGTTAACATTGCTTACATGTCAGTTCTTTAAAGTCAGATTTAACAGCAAAATTTAAGACAAAGGACTGGATACAAATCAAAATGTTTACTCACCTACCAATTGTAAATCATAACCCTGAGTTTGATGGCATTTTTCCAATAGAGGAAAATGCCTCTGGTAAACAAAATCACATTTTGGTTCATAATCAATGCTTGATGAGTCTAAATTCTGCTTTTATCCAAATCTTGCAGGTTTAAATATAATTATGTCTTAAAATATCTGATATTCAATATCCAGAGTTTTAGGCTAAGGGTTAGAACTGGTATTCAGATTTCCAAGAAAAAGCAAGGCAAACAATATCCACTTTAAACAGATATATTCAAGTTCCCCAAATTGTTCAGCCCACACACAGCTGTAGTTAGTTATATAGTATATATATTTATTATGTGTATTCAGGTGAAACCATCGTACGAGAAAGAGCAGAACACAAAGTTCTAAGCAAAATTATTTAACTGAATTAACATTTTCTGTATTCGTTTAATCTACTGTAGTGTGTTGTTATTTTTAACTAGTTATACTTACTGTGATTAACAGGAACAAGTTCTGGATTCTTTGGCGTTTTCAATCGGTATGAGATTTCACCAATTTTAACCGTATCACCTGAAAACATGAAAAGAAAATTGATACAAAAGCTCTTATTTTACCATAGTGGAATACAAATAAAAGGCTTTGGAAGCCAGTTGCATTGCAGAAATGTTGTTTTTCTTTTTATTGAATTTTTTCATAAGAATTCCATCATACGAGTGCAAACAAAAGTACTTTTTAATTAACATATACATGGCTCTACCACAATACCGCACTCTGAACCCAGCTCTAGGGTCCTCGGTTCAATTCTAGACTGGGATCTCTTCTGTGTGAAATTTGCATATTCGATCTGACACATTGCCTTGTGTCTGTCTGGGAATTCTCCAGGTGCTCCCTTTTCCTCCATTGACCAAAGGCTCAATATCCAGGCGAACTGGCATCTCTTAATTACCCTCAGGGAGTGTGTGACTTAAGATGATCTATGGTATCCTGCCCAGTAAGTAGTTCTTCCTGCTGAGTTAGGCTCTGGTTCACAATGACCACTAAGGGTATGTTAGTGTGTGTGCTTGGACAGATATACACCAGTAGATAATTCTACCTCCTGAGAAGACAAGACAACCGGGAAAACCTATCCTGTTTGTAAACATTTTATCCTCAAATTCAGAACAAACACATCCTTCAGTCCCTCACTGAGAGAGCTACACACGTGATATAGCCATGGAATGGCGCCATCTTGAAAAACCAAGATGAGCATGTTTACTCATTACTATTACGGCAGCACCAAAGAAAGCGTCCTCACTGGTGGCATCACTGTATGGTACAGCAATACTACCGTGCATGATAAAGACACACAACAAAGGGTTGTCTACTCCCACATATTTATTGTTCGGGTTGTTTACTGACTGTACATACTATCACTATTTGCTTGTCCTGAGAGAACAGTATGAATAATAATTCCAATGTACACGTAGATATGGCAATCAACTCCTCTACTCTTTACTTTAGTGACCATAAAGCAAAGGATTAGAGAAAGAGCTTGTAAAGAATAATTTATGTTAATGTAAGTATTTTGCAAGGGTATCAAAACGATCTAAGGACCTTTATTATTGTATTTACGTGTGTTTTCACAACAACTGTATCTATTATTATTAAATCTTAAAAGCATGTAATTATGGTCTCATTATATTCCATCCATAGCCCCTTAATCCCCTTAACACAGACGCAGGTGATCCAGAGACCATCCAGCTAGCAAAGGGCACAAGGTACAGGGCACACCCCGGATGGAACGCCAGACCATCCGAGGCACACACACACACACGCACGCGCACGCGCACGCACACACCTAGGGCCAGTATTTCTAGAAGTATGTCTTTGGTCTGTGGTAGGAAACCAGAGCACCCAGAGGAAACCAACACAAATATGGGGGGAACATACAAACTCCACTCAGACAGCACTCCAGGAATCGACCCAAGGGCCACAGCTCTGCGAGACAGCAAGGCTCATCACTGAGCCACCGTGCTGCCCCCACTACATTCCAATACAAACCAAATATTATTCAAACTATAATGTTATTCAGCTTCTCAATCATACGAAAACGGGTCCCAGAAACTCCGGATTGGATCTTCAGTCATAACATGCTTCTGCTATTGGTTCTCATTAAAGCTCTGTAAAAATCTGGGTCCGCAATTTATCACAGTAACTTTCCTTTGAAAACAGTATTCCAGTGAAACCTACAAGTCCTTATGCATGATAATAATACACAATCTTGGTGTGAGAATACTAAGACAGCAACAAGCTACACCATCGTACCTTCTGAAATTAGTCGTTGTTATAATCAATTAAAATGATTGGGGTAATAAAGGCAACTCACAAAAGTGTACCGTCACAGTGATATGTAACAATAATGTGTAATACCTATAAAGTATGCTTGCTGATTTAGAAACACAATCAGAAATTATGAGTACAGGAGATGTTTCGCAAACCGAAACGTGCTCGTTCATCTTTGCATGTGGAGCACACCTGTATTACAGCTACTATCTACTACGTTCCGATCCCGAGTAGTAATAAATCGGCACATCGCAAAAAATCTCGCATCAACATATTTTTGTCAGAGGTAAACAAACAAGATACCTTACAAGGTACATATTGACAACCAAAAATAAATCATTTACCTGCAGATGTATTTATTAATTTGACCTCCTGTCTTTTCCATGTCCAGTCTCCCCTTCCTAGAGCAACTCCTAAAATATTCCTTATTCTTCTGGCGGCTATAGCAGCAACAGTGCCGCTGTACAAAACCTGTGACTGCATTCCTTTGAAAATATTGATTTCACAAGTCCCCTTCGTTTTATGTGTTAAATTATAATGTGTATTTATAATGTAAGCAAGTCATAATAATTTCATATCTATTACTGGTTGTCAACTGTACGATGTTAAGGGGGAAGATAATTCATGTCGTACAGATGTGTTCAAACAAATGTTCCCGCAAGAAACTTGTTACTGATTATTTTCTTTTCCGCCAACGAAGTGTTTTTGAAACGCTGTCAGATTATTTACTTTCAAAGACTATTACGATCGGCATTAGGATCTTAGTTGGAAAGGACATCCTTAACTGAATTTCAAGCTATACTGTATATTAGCTACGTGTCTATTGGGAACTACTGCTGCCGATGTATCTTTTTAGTTTCTTCAAACTTTTAAGACAATAATAAAACACTCCTGCAACAATTCTTCATATCGTAAGCACCGACACTATGATATCAGAGACAACAAAGTATTTTTATTTTGTAACAGTCTGATTAAGGGAATAACTAAGGCTATATATATATATTTATGTAGAGAGTGCAGTATACTTTAATGTTGTAATACCTATATTAAAAAAAGAAAATCAACGCCTAATAGTTTATTATTTATAAATGGTAACGTTAGAAATGAAAAAGGAAGACATACAGAACTAAAATTCTATTTTTGCTTTTGTTTTTTTTTCAGTTTGTTACTAACGCAATAATAGTTACCAATCAGAAAAGGCTTTTTGGTTTGTCCAGCACATTTTCTTTTAGTAGTTTAGTAATCTGAGAATCTCACTCAGCCATTTACTGAAATAAACCAGGGTGTTTCTAAATGCATGTTCTTGAAGCTTCTACTTGTTTGAACTTCACTGCTCTTTCTGAAGATGTCCATGCCTTTGTGGAGTCTGAATACCTAAATTGGGTCTTCTTGTGGCCAATTTTCAAGATGAAAGATTCTGTCCTTTCAGCCTGTTAGAGTAGCACATTTCTTCAGGTCTGGTAAAGTAGTTTTTAATATCATATTTTGTTGATAATTTCTGCAATTCCCTGAATTGGAAGAAGCAGAAGAGGTTAGAAAATGAGTAGGTGTGACTATTTTTCCAACCATACCAGCACGTAGCTCATTGATATAAACCAGGAAGATCATTAGTCCTAAAACAGATCCCTGTGAGATTCTACTAGACAGATCACCCCCGATCTGAGCATTCACTTCTGTAACCTCTGTTTCCTATTAACGAATTCTTAATCCAAGTACATACATTAACTTGAATACCCAAATGCCTGCAGTTTAAGAATTAATCTTTTTTGAGGAACATTATAAAAAGCTTTCTGAAAGTCTGAATAAACCAAATAATATGTCCTTTGTATCCAATACCACTGAAGCTTGTTCAAAGAAACCTAACATGTTAGTAAAGCAAAACCAACCTTTACTGTCCCCTAGAAATGTATTGCTATGCAGATGATCCTCCTCTTTATCATCCTTCTGATCAATCATTTCCATAACTTTTCATATAATATAAGATTGATGAGTAAAAAAGTCTTTTAAGACTTCTCTTGCATTAATTGATTTAGATTTCTCGCATTTTACATTTACATTAGCAATGTAATACCATTTCAATTAATGGCGATTACCCTTATTTTTAGAGACTGCTGAAAATGTTTTCTTATTGGCCTAAGAATACTTCTTGTATCCACTAAGTACATTTCATAGAATACAATTAAGCTCTGGAGATTTGTCTTATGTGCTTCTAGTATGTGTAACAGTTCTACACTAATATTATATTATATAGATGTTTGTGTTTGCCCAGGCTAAAGCATTTTGTCCATTTCATCCTTTCTAAACATCTGACTGAAATACTTGTTCAAACACCAAATACATCACCCATTTCCTTTTTTATCACCTATACATTTCCCATTTTCACCTTGGAGACACTTCAACCTTGACTGTTGTAAATACCGAAGGAGTTTCTTTCTGTTTTAGCCTCTATTGCAACATTCCTTTTAGTCTTTCTTAACCTTTTTAATATATATTATAACCTGTGTTGTAGTTCATGATATTCCTTTTCTATAGCTGGATCTTCCAGTTTTTGAATGTTTTAGAAAGTGTTTTCTTTCTTCTATATTATTCTTATATTATTCATTGATTTATTTGGTTCTTTGGGCCAGTGCTTACTTGACATCGATTTACTAACTTATGTGATGAATATGTTTTATGTTTCCATCAGAATATCTTTAAACTGTTGCAATTGATTGTGTATTAATACCATTACTATTCTGTCCCATTTGGCTTCTCTTTAACCCTCTCTCATTCCTTAATAGCCTGCATCCCAGAAATGGTCAACTTTGCTTTAGATTCTACCTAGACTATATTATGATTACAATTCCATAAATATTATATCACCTCTAGTATATTTTGATAGTTTGTAAGACTTGAATGTCCTTATGTGCATGCTAAAATGACTTCCTTCTGTAGATGCTCCTACAGATCTTTAACAGAACTTCATATTTTCTTATCACATTGGCCTTTTGAATTGACAGATCCCTGCCTATAACTTTTTGAACAAGCAGAATGATTTGTTTTGACACCATGTTTTTGTTTAGATCACACAATCATGACTTCACTTAAGAGTGTAATGGCTGTGGGCAGTGGATTGTAATAAACATAATAAACTATTATTCATGCATTCACATTTCTCCACATATTAAGTTCAAGGAAAAGGTATAGGAAAATTAAGAGGGGGGTTTAAGAGAGTAAATGTTTAGGTACATATGCACATACATGTACTAAATAAGATAACCAAAGAAACATTTTATGTTGAATTTGCCTTTTTAATTCAAGATAGAAAGAATTTTAAAAAATGGAAACGTGTTCTGTACAAGGTACACATTATATTAATAACAAAGGAAATCAGAATTATGATGCTGCAAAATCTGAACTACAAAGCAGTTCTTTTCTGGTGTCTTGAACGTGTTGCTAGGAGACTTAATTTTGTATTAAAAGGGTATGATTATCTGTTATATAATAGGAATTACACATTTGAAATGCAGGTCTGACAATACATTGCTTGGCCATCCAATGTCACAACATTGTCTCTGACCTAAGCAATCCAAAAAAGATTATATACAATGAATAGGCATTCAGTGTATATTGTGTTATATTCATATTTAATTGAATCTGAAAGGCAAGTATGTTTAAGCACATGGTTTCAAAAGAGAGAACTACAGTGAATTGCCAATGTGGAGGCATCTACAGTAAAATATCAGGCAATATTTCTCATCTTTAGAACAAAATAATATGCCACAATGTCTACAATTTATATTGGTTTATCTTTCCACCAATATTTTAACTTTTTTTTTATAAGTTTAAAAGATGCTTTCCACTCCAAAGATGTTTGAGTAAAAGCTAGTACATCTGCTGTTCTAACACTGTAACACAGGAAAGGCTTTAAATGTACTAGTTTAAATTATTGGTTCTTCCAAATCTATTTTTAAATGTTAATTTGACTCTTATTAGTCTGTCATGTCTTCAAACGGTGCTCTTTATTATACTCAAGAAAATCCAGTGTTTTGTGTCTCTGTTTTTCTTTTCTATAACCAAAAGAAATAGAAATTTGATATACGCATAAAAAGAAATTGAACAAACCAGCATTATCGTTGTACTGGTAATGCCTATTAAACCAAGATTAGAATTACAATAATTGTATTGATTCAAAACCACAGTTCTGCTCAAGCCTTTGGCGTCACTGATACACATGTAACTACAGCTAACAAATAGTTCCAATTGCTGTTGGTTTTTTTCTGAAAAATGCGTTGAATCCAAAATATAGTCATCATAAGTTTTTTATTACAAAAAAAGTTTTAAATTGCTGGACTATTGCATTTCTTCCCCCCTTGTCACAGAGTAAACGTTACAATGTGACAGAGCAGAGAAATATCTTAACATTTTAAATAATTATCCTAATAAGAGCCGTCACCCTATAAAAATGGGGGCAATTAAAGGGTTTTAAAATAAGCATATATGAATCTAGCAAGGAAATAAGAACGAGATTTACGGTATCCTTGTTTTCAGAGAGGGATTCTACCAACAGGTGACGTCATCGACATCCTCTCTTGGATGTGCTCCTTATAGGGGTTGACATTTATCACGTGGCGGAGCCTTAGGAAGAGCGTAGCAGAGGGGAGAAGTCAACGAGCCCAGCGAGAGGGAAAGCGAAATAAATAAGGGGCCGAGAACCACAAATCGAATGCACAATTTCCCAGATTGAGAGCAACAGTAAATATTCCCTAACTCCCTGCACTTTTTCCCAAGGAGTCTTATAAATTGGATGAGAGATTATGGATGATGTCTACCATTACACTCGCAGTCTTGTCTGGGAAGAACTGGTAGGTGTTTTTCTCTTCACTTTTGGGGAAGACTTGAAATTCACTGGCTTTAGATTGGAATTACTCGATTGTATCCGTGTCTCTTGTTTTTCGCTGTTAAAATATAATAAATATGTATGCTTTTTTAAAAAAAGGTCAATATTATGCAACCTTATTTCGCTAGAAACTGCTTTGATTTCCGAGAGCGAAATGCTTCTAAATGTCATAGGTTTGAGTTTACTTTTGTGATGGAAGAAAATTTGCAAACCAAAGTGAAAGATGGACTTGAGCAGAGCGCAGTCTCGGCGCACGTGCTGTGGTGATGTCCTGTGAAAGACACTATATTCCAATTAAGGTTGTTATCACTATAAAAACTCAGGGAGCACCGGTCTCCAAAACTCAAACGATGGCGAGATTTGAGTTTTTAACCGTTTGGCCGATGGACAGTAGTGATAGCAGGACTGTTGTACACTGCAGGACTGCGGTAGCACACAGGTGATGGGTACAGAATTTGGTCTTGTCGTACGCTGTTGTTTAGCACAGCTGACTTTCATTGCTGAACAGGTTTTCAAAAGGGTGGCTGTCATGACTTAAATCTACATTTTGAATGGCGTAAAATAAGAATGTTATAAATTCTTCTTATCCATCGGTATTTAAAGAATTATTGTGCTGTGAAATGTTTGGCCGTGAAATCGCTGTCCTGCATTAGAAATAGAAGGGCCGATCTAATGACATTAACAAATGAAGGAGTAGTTTACTCCAAGATGTAGACCAAAAAGCGCCTGGGCGTTTCAGAACGTCCTGCTGGTAGTACTATTGTTCTTGCCGCTATCGAGACTCGTGTGTCCGTACAGTACCATGATCCCGATGACTGTGCTGGAGATTTACTGGAACTATTGGGGAATCTCGAAAAAGAGGAAAATCAGCATGCACGAATACAGTATATATTGAACAAACCGAGTAAATAGGACTTGTACAGTATTTGATGAGGGTGGGGTTGTTTTCCGAATTTACCGGTCGTCTGATTGAGACATTTTTATACCGTGTAACGTTTTACTTCCACACCGAGGTCGCGGTTTTCCTCATTTTCATTGAACCACTTTCATTCCTACCCAAATACGTTGGTATTGTTTAGTTGTGCACGCGTTATTTCAATGCTTTTGCATTTCCAGCGCTCATATTTAGATTTAATATACAGTCGGTCTTTGTGCATCATTTGCCTGATAATAATTTATACCCCCAATGCACCTCTTGAAAAGTGTGTTTGTGTGCAAATGTTTAAGCAATTCCTTATTATTAACACTGCTGTTGCAATTTCACTAACTTTAAAAGTACAACGCACATACTGTAGGTCATTATGTGTTGGAAAAAAAAGACAGCCCAGTCCACTTGGACGGTGTTCCTAGTTTTAGTTTTTTTTTTTTAAATAATGCAGATTATTTTTGAAAATTCAGCCTCGGGAACATCACAAGCACTGTGTATGTGATCTGCCCCGCTGTTTCTGTGCTATAAGCGTAGTGCCAGCTGGTTAAAACTGATGGATAAATGGCAAGAATCCCTTGTCCCCGGCGTCATCATACTTTTTTCGCACATAGTTTGCGTTCGAAATCGGTCCTGTAAATGCACGAATGTTTTGTAATGAGCAAAGAATCTCGAGTTTTGCATGATAATAATTATCAATGTGACACGTACTGTATGAAATTACTTTTTCTCTATTATCTTTTAACTTTTAACAAGGCGATCAGCAAATCCACGTTCGTCCAGTATTCTGTTTAAAGTTCTAAACTTAGATACTTTTTAAAAAGCCTTTTCTAAAAAGAGACAGATTCAGCCGCATTTCTGCCATAGTGGTGGTTCTGATGCTTCTGAAGAACTGAACAGGATGCAGTTGTTGGAAAACAAGCAAAACAAAATTTAAAGCAGCTGAATATCGCAACGTTTCACAAAAATAAAACTACTGAGGCGAATAAACATCTCTAAAAGTACCTTAAAAAACAAATGTGAATCAATACAACTAAACAAAGTGATAGATTCTATTCTTACATGCAAAAGAAGAGATTAAACGAAAGGAGAAAAATAATTTACAAAGCAGAATGACTTATTGATTATAAAAGACGTGGAAGCAAATATCTATCTACTGTACAGATGTTTTGTAGATATCTTTGTGGGATTCACCTCTTGGTTATTGCGGTAAAACAATAGATTCATTTGTAGCGATGCTGTAGTTTGATATAGCATGGACAGTATGCTATTTACCGTGTAAGTTATTTATTGTATCTTCTGTGAACAATATATAAGATCATTTACCTTTCAAGGATAAATTTAAAAATTGAAACCAAAAGTTGCTTTTTGTAGTGTAACCGTAAAAGTCAACTTCGGATAACATGACCTATTAATTATTTTTATGCGTATTAATAAGTTTACGAAAACAATCCACATTTATGGAGCATAACAAACGTTACGACAGATTTCAGCCTCGTACGCCTGCCTACCAAGAGTTTACCAAATGCAAGTTCGTGCAACTTTTTTTTTCTTCGAGCGACTTTTGCTTCCCTCTCTTCTGAGTGGAAATTAAAGATCGAACTACTGTACAGTAGTAGCCCGTCCCAATACACTCTTCTTTTCGTACAACCACTAGGGTCTGCTACAGAGATTTCCTCCAGTCTTCGAGTTGGTGGGAGAGACAGCAGCGACAGTCTGTGTAGACTGTAAAATAAACACATCTGAGAGCAAGCTTTGCGGAGTAAATGTATAACAAACAAATATGGCAATTTCCCATACGGTCCATTGTTGTTTTAGTGTTTTCAAATAGGTAAAGAGGGGGAGGGGGGGGGGGGGTTGACTCTCTGTGACAGAAGGTAGTGAAAGATGGCGGCGAAAAGAGCCGCTTTTCAGCCGCTGTCCAGCTCTCGCGTCCCGGAGAGGAAGGGAGCGGCTGGCCGCACTAAGGCTAACCCCGAGTGGTGTGCTTCTTCTACCCGCCAGGAGTCAGAGAAGGGAGCGCCTACCGCTGCGGGGATTGCCAGCACCGGGATGCAGCATCATGGAATTGGGGCGGTCGGGGGACCTGGACCGGTAGACGAGTCGTCGGATAGCGAAGGAGAACAAGAAGGGCCCCAGAAACTCATCAGGAAAGTGTCCACCTCCGGCCAGATTAGAAGTAAGGTAAGGAACAGTACTGTTCATGAATCTGGTAGACGAGGGAAGCCGAATAAAATTCTTATGTAAATTTACATCGGGACTGTTTTTTTTTGTGTGTGAAGTGGGTATTATTGTAAAAGGATAACTTGTTTCCCAAGATAAACTGTTGAATGCAGTGTTGAAACAGCTTTTTGCAAGCAGTGTGAGAAGGGATTACAGGACTAAATCGTTTTTTTTTTCTATTTAAAGGTCTTTTAATTTTCGCACCATGATCTAAAGTTTTAAGGTTTGTCGATTTCCGTTTATAAATAAAAAGGGCGGAATAGTACGATAAATATTAGGATAGTTTTTAATTTTTTAAAACTTCAGATATAAACAGACATCAAATAATAGTACATACAGTAAATACGGTGGGATTTCTTTTTTACTTACGGGTACAGTGAATCTAATCTGTTATTTTTGAAAACCCCTGTTTTGAAATTTCGTTACAAAAATGTTGTTTTCAGTGAGTTATCTTAATTTATAGGATGCTTTCAGACATTACTCAAGCCTCATTGAAATTAAATACAAATGAAAACCTTTAAAAGACCGTACTGTGTTTTAACAATCAACCCGTGTAGAGCTTTGGATCACAGTGAAAATAAATAGAAATTGGACATATAAAGTGCAATAAGATCTTTTTGCAACAAATGAGAACTGTAAAATAGTTTTTCATAGTACCAAACAACACGTCTGTAAGAAAACTGTAAGAAATATTTAAAAAATCCTTATAGATGAAATATGGATTCATATTAATTGTATACAAACAGCTTTAGAAGTGTTTGATTTAAAGAAACGCAATTAGTACAATAATGAAAGTTGACTGTAAATTTAAAAGGATCGGGATATTTAGACTTTGGACACTTACAGTATTTAATTTCACTTTTTTAAAATATGATATAGACACTATTTATGTCAAATGATCGGAGGTCACACTATTTATGTACAGTAGATGAATATAGCATGATTTGCAAATAAGGCTTCTATTGCCAGGAATAAAGGTAAATCCAATTAATTCCTTTGCTTTGAAAATATATAAGCCAGAACTGGCACTAGAGGAAGGTGTGTTTGTGTGCAGCGTTGCATAATGCAAATGTAATAAGGGGCAGCACTGTTAACTTTGAAATTAACAGTATTTACCTTGAAATGTGGAGTGTGTGAATACCTGAGCAATGTCTTGTTACTACAGTTCAGTAAATGAGATACCAGGCGTAATCCCTATATTGCATGTAATGATCAATGCGATTTAGGAGTGTATGGTAATCCAGGAGGCTCTACAGGGATAGAGCAGCTGTTCTTGTGGAAAAGTGGAATATTGACTCTGTGTGACTGATTGATTGATGTAATAAAGGACTTCCAGGCTGACATTTCCAGGACCTGTACCTGAAGACCAACAGAGAAGAAGTGTGTCTTTGACTTAAGGCTTATTCATGTAACAAATGTAAACAGTCTTTTCTTTGTATGTGTAGACATCTTAGGAAGATCAGAAAAAATCCATTGAAAGTCCCTGTTGTAAAAACTATGAAATGGAAGCAGATTATCACTGGTATAATAAGCTTGTGCCATGGCACAGTTATTGGTACTTTGTGTGGAGTTTTTGGAAAGTGTGCTGTTCTGGTGCGTTTTTCTTTGTCCATTGGATAAGGCTATTAAACACTGCTGGTATAGGAGAATATTCGATGGCACATTTTAGCAGATTTTTTTTCTGCTAAAATATTTTATAATGATTTTTAGTCCCTTTTAGGGACTTTAGTAATTTAATTTAGAAATATAAAAATCCTCAATTTCAATGATGGTAATGATATTACCCATTTGTAGAGCGGGGCAGTCTCTTCGCTTAATGTGAGTGAAGCACTTTTCTCAAGGGTACAACAGGAGTGTCTGATCTGGAACTTGAACCCACAGTTCTCCAGTCTGAAGTCCAGAGCTGTAACTCTTACTAATAATAATAATTGCTTACACTTATACAGCGCTTTTTCTGGAAACTCCACTCAAAGCGCTTTACAGGTAATGGGGACTCCCCTCCACCACCACCAATGTGCAGCATCCACCTGGATGATGCGACAGCAGCCATAGTGCGCCAGAACGCTCACCACACATCAGCTATCAGCGGGGAGGAGAGCAGAGTAATGAAGCCAATTCACAGAGGGGGATTGTTAGGAGGCCATGATTGGTAAAGGCTGATGGGGAAATTTGGCCCCTACTCTTTTTGAGAAACACCCTGGGATTTTTAATGACCACAGAGAGTCAGGACCTCGGTTTTACGTCTCATCCGAAGGACGGCGCCTGTTTACAGTATAGTGTCCCTGTCACTACACTGGGGCATTAGGACCCACATGAGCCACAGGGTGAGCACCCCCTGCTGGCCCCACTAACGCCTCTACCAGCAGCAACCTTAGTTTTTCCCAGGAGGTCTCCTATCCAGATACTGACCAGGCTCACACCTGCTTAGCTTCAGTGGGTTGCCAGTTGTGAGTTGCAGGGTGATATGGCTGCTGCCTATATTCCCACCTCTTTACAATAATCTTCCATTTCACTAGACAAGGAAACTAGGGTAAACTCTTTTGCCCATTTAACTACCCAGCAGGGTGGCACAGCAGCACATTGATCAGCATTGCTGCCTTGCAGTGCCCGGGCCATGGGTTCAATTTCTGGGGTGATGTCTACATGGAGTTTATATGTTGTCCCCGTATTTGTGTGGGCTTCCTCTGGGTGCTCCAGTTGCCTCCCACAGTCCCAAGACAGACGGTGTGTTATTTGGTTTCTGTTTAATTGGTGTGAGTGTGTATGTGGTTTTTTGTGTGTGTGTGTATCCTGCCTTGTGCCTGTTGCTTGCTGGTATAGGCTCTAGCTACCCTCGCCACACTGTATTGGATAAATCGACTAGAAACGGGATGGATGGTTGTTGGTATCTGATTTACTTGATCCCTTTGTTTCTTGAAGACTCCCATGGTATCAGTTTCAACAACGTGGCTCTTTCAGCAGCCTTGCAGAAAAAAAAAAACGTTTCTTGTTTAATTTCAGAGGTTGAGAAAAGTAAACGATTTTGGAAAGGTCTGTTGTAGTTGATCTGAGTTTTTGAAGTTTGCTTTCTTCTGCAACTGTTGGATTAGGCAGTGTAGCAGCTGATCTTAGTTTCCGAAGTTTGCTTTCATCTGCAACTGTTGGATTAGGCAGTGTAGTATCGGATCTGAGTTTCTGAAGTTTGCTTTCATCTGCAACTATTGGATTAGGCAGTGTCTTTAGGAAGAGTGGTCATGTTTTTTCATATTTCCTAAAGTCACACGGGTCATCTGAGGAACACTATGGTTGTCACTCTTACTATTTTCACTACTCATTCGTGTTGTACAGATCTCCATTGTATAGATCCTAGAGCCATGATGGGGAAGATTTGCAATCGTTTGACATGGCTGCCTTTCTCAGACATGTTTTGCCGGCCCTGCATTAGGTTGTCAACTCTCACTGTTCCACACGCAACGCGGGCGTGCCCTGTTTTTTGATCGGGTCCCACTGGACCTCGTCATCAATGTGTACTTTGCTCCTAGTGGAGAATCGGCTTTAATGGTGGCTCACATTTACCCTCCTTAGACTGTGCTGGGCCTCTTCTGCACCATGACAACCCCGTCAAGGACACCGAGCTGCGAAAGGCTGCAAGTGGAGCCAAATGTAGACGTGGGGTCATAATAAACAATGTTTGTTTTTAAAATAGCAGCAGAAGCTCACGCCTCACTTTACTTTCTGAGGTGTGAACATTTAGTCAGTTACGAGAAGAGAAGCACACTCTAATGTTAGGTTTTGTCTAGTGTCACTAATATTGACGCTGTTTTACTGTATATCTTCATTATGTATGTTTTTATACAGAGCTTAGTGTGGCAGAGCATGTATATAATGGATAGAACTATTGGATTTTTGTTTAGATTCATGGAGTATTTCTGAACTTTCGTAGTGTGTAAATTTTCGCCTAATTTGCCATACCTTGAACTGAACCATCCTAAACGCAATTCTAAATGTGTTGAACAAGTCACTTTATCATGATGCTCTCTTACTGGATCCTCTAAAACTGTGCTTAGGAACTTACAAGATATTCTGCTGCTAGAATCCTGACTAGGTCTCATGCAAGTGATCACATTACTCCTGTCTCAGAGTCCTTGCACTGGCTTCCTGTTGACTTGATTTCATTATCCTTCTGCTTCCATTTAAGGCTCTACACAGTGTGGGTCCTCAGTATCTATCTGGTATGTTATCTGTCCTCTCACCAGAATCACTGGTTCTGGTTTACTGTGTATGTCCACTGTCTGAACTCTGTGAGTGATGTCCCCTTTCAGGTTGCTTTATCTCATAGCTCTAGAAAACCAAGCAAAACATAGCTTAGGGACCCTGCAAAATCAGTTGCTTTTAAATCGAGTGCAAAAACATACTTTGCAAGAAAGCCTTTTTTGTGATTGTTCTGTTTCCTGCATCAACTTTGTTTTCAGGGTTTTGTAATTGCCTTTATTTTATGAAATGTGATTTTTATGCATCGTGGAGCATACAATTCAAACAATAGCTTTTAAAGGAACAGCATATAATATTCTTGTTTTGTGAGTGGGTACCTTGTAATCCTCATGGGTGAGTGTGATATATGGAGAAATGAAAAGTGTCATCACTGATCCATTTACCCATACATATTTTCCAGGAACAAGACAGTTGTAATGGAGTGTGAGAGTAAAAAAGAGTTTTATGACCACGAGTGACTTACAGAAATTAAGTATATACATTTTTAAACATAATTTACAGGGACAAAATAAATCAAGGGTTTATGCGGAGGACGTAAATCCAATTTAAATTATATCAGTCTCAACTAGACATACTGCTGGGCCTGCTCTACTTTAACTACAAAGCTATAAATAAGTTTCCATTGTCCAACAAAGAAAGATCCACTCAATTATTCACTTGTGCTTTACACTCCTACTGTATTATTTAACAAAGACTATATTTGGAGACTT